GAAACTGGCAAATATTACAAATAGGCTTTTTTTTTTCCTTATGGCGAGTTAGTTGGAACATTTACCAGTAATAATCACTTGAAATAATACAGTAATCAGTTGTGTAACTTGTACAAATTCAAATTTTATGCCAAAATAATATAATCATTTTAATTAAAACAATTATTGTATTTTCTTTTGGGTGAATTCTGTTTTGAATAAAAACTTGCACTAGTATTTGTTTCATATTAGACACTAGAGAATTAAACTGCCTGCTATTTCTATTTTTCAGTTTATCCAAGCCACTTGTACACTAAAGGCATGTTGTATTTCTTCAGAAACTTTTCAGTAGAGACTGCAATTCACTAAGAGCTGCTAGGACTAGCATTGTTTAATGTGTGGTTTAAATTTTATCTCACTTATAGAGTCAGGATACGCTACTAATCCATGACTTAAAACCTGACAGCTTTATCGAGCATCATTACAGCTGGTGTTTTTCACTCTGTTAATCTCACTCATCTCTGACTTCCTACATAATAACTGGAAAAGACATTAGGAGTGACATATTTATGTGTGTGGACACAGTTGATCAATCCATCTAGGCTGTGGGGAATGCTGACTAAGGCACACTAGGTAAATAATTTGAAGGCTGTAAATGGAATTGGAAAGGGTCTGCAAAATAGAGCACTGAGTTTTATAATCTTCAGTGGTTCCTGTATCACAAACAGATGTGAAAGAATTTGGGTAATCATATGAGGATACTTGGTATCTTATTTCATTCAGCTGTTAAAATTGTATTGAAAATGTATTTTCCAAATATTAGTTGCTACTGAGAAAGAGAGGGGAAGGATAAGAAGATAGAAAGATTGGACAAAAGGAAGGAAGTGAGAATGGAAGGAAGGAAGGAAGGGAGGGAGGAAGGAAGGAAGGAAGGGAGGGAAGGAGGGAGGAAGGAAGGAAAGGGAGGGGAGGGGAGGGGAGAAGAGAAAGAAAGGAAAGAGAGGAAAAAAAGAAGGAACTTCAATTTTTAATAGTATGAACAATTATGATGTGTTTACTTTGTGTCAGGCACTATTCTAAACTAGTTATGATGTATTAGTTTATTAACTCTCCCAGTAACGTTATGAGTTAAGTACTATATTTGCATCTTCATTTTAGTTAATGAGCTTTCTGAGGCATGGAGAGGATGAGTGACTTCTCCAGCATCCATTAGCAGTAATTAGTGGTAGAGCTGGGTTTCAAACTAAGACACCTGCTTGGAGTCCGTGGTTTTAAGCATGACAACTCACTACAGCTATTTGGTCTATTATAACCCTGGAGAATTCTAAATGGGGTCTCACTTCCATACATACCACCTTTTTATTATCTTCTAGTAATACAGTAGAAGTAAAAAGTATAAGAATGCCCAAAGCAATGGAAAGAAAGGGAAGGAAGGGGGTGAAAAAATATTGATATATGTTATGTACAGGTACCAACTCCCTACAAAAATGTAATCATTATGTATTGCAAACATGTACTAATAAAAAATAAAAACTGAAAGAAAGAATCCCTAGAGACACCTAGAGCTGGGTTGCTCATTTTGTCTTTTTAAACCTAAAGTAAAAACCTAAAAATCAAGATGAAATATTTTAATTCTTCCTGGACAAAAGTATTTCAGTAATATGAAGCATAATTAAGGGCACCTTCTGTTTTAAAGTTCATTTATTAAAAGACTGATATAGCAAAACTAATTTTGGTAGCAAAATTTTTGTGACAAAGATATATTTGGGGTTATATTCTAAGGTTTCATAGGGACAGATGTTGAGAAACCAAGCAGCTATAAGTTTTCTGCAGGTGTGTGACTGGCTGCTTCATTGGATTTTACCACAGGTTTTATGTCTCAGTTTATCTAAGAGTGTGTTGATTAGCTCTGTCTTGGTGACTGAATGAATAGTGAACTGCTCATCCACATAATCAAATCTGTTTGTAAATAAATAAGTGAGCTGTTTCAACAGTCTCATGCAAGTGGATAGAAACAAATATCACTATAATTTAAAGTCCCACCCTCAGACCTTTGCATGATAGGGAGATGATTGCATATCCAACATGTGTAGCTATTGCTGCAAGCAAACATAATAGTGATAAATCAGTGGACCTAGAAATCTGTGTAAGTTACATTCATAAATATTAAAATGTTACTGAATTTTTAAGGCCATGCACATATAAAATAAATCAAAGAGAAAAATGTTTTAATACTACAAAATTCTTCACCATTTTTGAAACTTTAGCAAGCACTAAAGTTGTACAAAAAAAGCTTTGATTCAGCCTTAAAGCTTGGAAAGATAGGTCAATAAATTATCATAATTTCTGATTTCCTTTTCCTATATTTTAAAATTGTCATGCTCAAACTTATCTAGCAAATGAAAACAAAATGTTCTTGAAGGGTTTTGAAATATGGCATATGGAGCAAAGCACCCAAAAGTCTAACTTATATTATTATATTCTAAAGTTTTCATAGTTTTTATTCCAATAAACAACATGTCTTAGTTACTTTTCTGTCATTGCTGAGACAAAATACCTGACACGTGAGGTTAAAGGAGGAAAGGTTTATTTCACTCACAGCTTGCAGAGGTTTCAGTCCCTAACTGGCTGGCTCCAAAGCAGAGTGGCACATGCAGAGGAACAGTAGTCCATGGAGGTGAAAGACAGACAAATCCACAAGAGAAAAGAGAGACAAACTGTGTCTGTCCCTTGTATTGTATGCAGGATACACGCCTAGGGCGGGTGTAGCATTCATATCATTAATCCCATAATGGGCCATGAATCAGTCACAAACTCTAGATTCAGCCACCTCCAAGAAGTCCGTCCCCCATGACCATATGAGGCTTTGGAGGGATATCCAGACACAAACCATAACACAATGCATCTCATCAAATTCTCATAGCATTTAAATTCTAACTTTATCATTACATAGTGTTCTAATGTGCCATTCCACTTTATTTTTGTACACAATATATCTTATTGTGTACAAAATAATGAACATGATGTGTCTCGCAAGTACAAGCTTAATATTTCTTAACTGAAATGTTTGGAACCACAAATATTGCCAATTTGGGATGGTTTTTGGACTTTAGAATATTTGCGTACACATAATGTGATATCTTGGAAGTGTGATTGAAGTAAAAACACAAAATTTACTTATGTTTCATATACATATAGCCTGAAGTAATTTTATGGAATATTTTTATTGTACTTGTGTCTTAACTGTGAATTCTCTTGTGATCTAAGGTGTGGAAACTTCCATTTGTAGTGTTGTTTGTATTCAAAAGCTTTGTAATTTACTCTTCAGATTTCATATCTTTAGAATAAGGATATTTAACCTACACCTGCTTCCTCACTGCCAGCCATCTGTCCCTTCTGTGTTTCTCTGTGTTTTTCCTACCTCATCCTCCCATACAAAGCTTACCCTCTCCCCAAGCTCAAGCCTAATATATTCTCATTTAATCTACACTCCCTATACCCAGAATCATTGTTTTCTTCCTCTGTATTCTCTTACTTTCTCATGAGTTCCTGTCTCATTTATCTTTCCATCCCCATTGTACACAAATTTACACCTTGTTCATGAGAGAACATTTATTTCAATTTGTCAGTGAATGAATGAATTAATGAATGAATGTAGCTGAAACCACATAAACTGTTAATGAACAGGGCAATTGCATTCCAAGCACAAAATAATTATAAAAAAAAATTTAAAATGAGACTGTCACTTAAGATATTTGGGTTTGGGAAAAAGATATTTAGGGTTTGCTCTTAACTGTCTGCAAGATACTATGTTCTTGCATCCTTTGTCAACCACCACCCCAGATACTTCCTACACAAGTCACATAAATCTGTAAGCTAGGGATCTCATTGGTTTATCAACAAATAAATGGACAGGAAAATATCTGATATTTATCTTTTCTATCTGCTACTAAGAAAGCAATGGTGTAAATGTAGAGGCAAGACAAGAACGATTAGAAATGATTCTCCAGAGAAAAATCAGTGCAAGCAGATATACACCCTTCCTGGGGCCTCACATTACTGATGAACTACAGCTCAAGTCTCCATGGCCGCTGCCCAGCAGGGATGGACCAGAGGGAGACTTTACCCAGAATTTTTCAGAGAAAGACATCAGAGTAACTATAGTATGAAAAGAAGTGAAAAGAAACTAAAAGATAAGACAGTAAAATGTTCTTCTCTTCTTTAAGAAGTATTACTGTGGTCTTCAAAGCCTGATGTCTTTGTGGTATTTGAGAAATGAAAACTAATGAAATTATAGTTTGGCTATGAAGGGATGCTTCTTGATTCTTCCCTTTTGAAAGACTGAAAGGTTTAGGGCATGACTTTATTCAGATTTTAACTTCCTCAAAATACACGTGGAATCTCATTTCTTTTTCTGGCACAGCCTTCTACACTATCCAAAATGCTCCTACATGCACAAAATAGCCTTAATTTGTGTGAAAGAACTGCCAGATCAACGTTATGTATTTCCTTATATACTTTTCTCTTCACATAAGATCATAGTGAGTTTTCTATATGTTTTTTCAGTGCCTTCTTCAAGCACAAAGATAGTTTGGTTGTTGTCTTTTTTTTATTTGGTAATTCTTTTTCTTACTCTTAGTATTTTGAAAGGGACTCTGAAAGGTAATTCTTAGTTCTGCGTGGTTTCATTTTGACCCCTAAGTATTAATATACGGGTCTTAAAAACAAATGCTTCTCCCCATATTTTTCCTTGACAGAAAGATTTACAGTTGCTGCTGCTAGTGCATAGCCACCCATGCCACAGGCTCTCAAACAGTACTTGCTTTGATTTATGATGCTTTGGGACTGTACAAATTCTTCCCAAGAGAACTGTCCAGCATACTTAGCAACCTGTTTTTAAAGACAGCACTCTAGACTTCCTGCATTTCAGCTCTTTTCTCACCTGGACCACCAGTCTCTTGGATCTTCTTTCTTGCCAGTGCATAATTTGTGTTATCTTTTTTGTTTGTTTTGCTCCTCAGTTACCTCAGATGATGGTCCTTCTATGGATTTTGGCTTTCGAGTTGATATTGAGGAAAAAGGATTCTACACAGAGAACTTTCATTCAGCAGCTTGGGTTTTCAGAGGAGACGATGGGAATCCTGAAGACAGTCCCCGATGTCTTAGTAAAAAACCACGACCAGTAGCTGGTAAGGACTCTACAAATATAGTAAGATAGGTATGTGTTACAGAGCCCATAGCTAGGGGCCAGGCAAGATTCTGAAGTTGTCAAACTTAAATCCTGGGTAGAGTTTAGGGAAAAAAAAAAAATGTGT